TATTCGCGTAAATTTATATGTATACTTTTGCAACGCTATCGCATAGTACTTACCTGAACTCTGAACCAGTTCTCTCTCCCTTTTTCTTTCTCTCACTCTCACACACACTCTCTCTCTCTCTCTCTCTCTCTTTTTTCTGTCTTTTTTTTCTTTTTCTCTCTCACTCTATTTTTTCTCACTCTATTTCCCTCTTTTACTCCTTTCCTTTTTCTTCTTGAGAACGATACTTTGTCCGATCAGACGGGGGCAAGGATGCCTCCTGGTGTGAACGCCAAGACGAGGAGTAGCTCAATGCTCGACGGAGACCGGACGCACTTTATTTTATAGGTACAGAGACCCTCTCCATGGTATCTCTAAGGGGGGTAGGTCTTCGGTTGCCATGTGAAATCCTGCAGGTCTTCGGTCGTCGCCGTCTCACGTAACCACCTTTTCCTCCGTGTCTGTCCTTGTCTCGTCCTGTCTGTATCTCGTTCGTTCCGTCCCATCGTCGTCATCGTCATCGTTGTCGTCGTCGTCGTCGTCGTCGTCGTCGTCGTCGTCGTCGCCGCCGGTGACTCGTCCTGACTGACATCCATTAATATGCAAATCCGTCGTCAGCTCTCTCTCTCTTGAACTCGTTGCTAAAAATGAAGCCGATCATTCATCGGCCACGTCGATTACGTTATACTCAATTAACGGTGGCCGAGGGCGGCTCTCTCTTGCTCCCGCGCGTTTGCACTGCTCACCGACATCAGCTGGCAACAAGTTTGCGATTATTAACGTAAAGCACGCCCCGTCAGGTTATTCAGCAACTTGTCGTTCTCCACGAAGTGGTCCGCCGATAAAACCCCCAACGGGGGGTTGCCACTCCGCTCGGATCCACCTCCGGAAAATCACTCACGACGCTTTCGCATCATATCGCGTCGTATCGTATCTCGGCCGTACTTTACTGTCCTTTTTTTTTGCGGAATGAACGATGAGCATGACGAGGATGAGAACGAGGAGAAGAGGAGGTGGAGAAGGAGAATCCCGTGATATGCGAGCGCATATCAATATGTTCTTGCGCGAATAATAACGAGATGTCTGCATACTTTTTGTTCCCGCTCGTATCCTCATTAATATCGCCCGCCATTACGGTACCCATTAACGATAATCTTCTTTGATAATTACTAGGACGGCAGGAGTTATAAGCGTTTTTAGTCGAGCGGACAATCGACGTAAGAATCGCAGGATATAACATTGTAGCGCTCTGCTTTTCGGTTTCTACGTTCTTATTTGTATGTCCTTAACATTCATATTAATAATATTTTAGAGCTTCCTCAGGAGTCAAAGTAATTCCTTCTTAATTTCTCGTAGAAATTATTCAAGCTTGCAATAGTGCATTTTATATATTTAATTGACGTTGAATACGTAAATTTTTTAGTTGGCCAATAGCAAGACCATTACAAGATATTAATGTATTATTTTATAAGCTGATTGTAGTTGTCAAATGCAAAATGTGTACTTGAAGAATCTTCACAAAGCGGATTCTCTCGAAAATTAAACCTTGCGGGAAATGATTTTGTTCTGTATTTTCGATTGACAAAAATCATCTCCTTTTCATTTGTATCACAATTTCCGGAACACTATATATAACGATGGCGGTTTTGTATACATAAAAAAAAGGAAAAAGCACTTGGTTACTTTAGCATGTTGCCATGCTATCTTGAACAAGATACCGCCTCAACTTGAGTTATAATTTGAAGATATAAATTATATCAATTTTTCTTCTTTTTCTTTAGTTTACTGGACAATTCATTATTGGTTAACATTTGTTATAACTGTGGTAAACAATGCAATGTTGGTTTGTGTATAGTTCCATGCTTTAAAACTTATTATACCAAGCTTTACTTTTAAATTTAATCTTTCTCTTCTTTACGTTTATTTGTTGTTGTTTATAATACTTTATTATAAAACGTGTATACATGAAGATATCTGGTGCTATGCTTGCACTAAACCGTCGAGTAACATTAAGCAGTACGAAAATATCTCGCGTTCGGCCGTCAAGCAACACTGACAAGCCGTACCGAAGATGTATGAATAACTATCCTCTCAAGCCGCCCTTCTCGGGTTGCAATTCATCAACTGATACAGATAAGAAAAATTTTTAAGTATAAATTAATTCAATTGCTTCTCGTTCGACACGTTCGAAATTGGACTACTTTTCAATTAACACCGAGCAGCGGTAACATTAATTACATAATCAATATTATAATTTTCCACTTAACGATAGAACTGTTGCGTGCAATGTGTATTATACTTTACATTGTTATACCTTCGAAGTATAATTTAGAACCTGCGGTTCGAAAGTCTTTGACGTTCCATAATGATACTGCCATCTTCTTTCATCGTTGCGAAACGGAAATAAACGTTGAAGAATGAAAGTATTAACGACGTCGTAATGATCATTGTCGCAGGTGGAGCCAAGAGAGCCTGGCATCCTCTGAACCGTTTCCTGAAACGGCTATACGCGCCCGTGGATCGTGCGGAGAATCTCTTCTTGAAGATGCGCAATCTCTCCATCATGGCGAATCAGATAGTGTTCCTGCTGCTGGCGGACAAGGTATTACTGCCGCAGCAGAGGATGACCTGTCTTTACACGCTCATGTTCTACAATGTGATAGCTTACTGTGTGAGCTACATCAAGGAACTGATTCAGAAAGAGGACTGGTCGCCGTACGTCACCTTGACCGAGAGATCCAAGATCAAGCATCTCGCCATGTCGGCAACCAAGATCGTGCTTGAGTGGACTAAAGCGGTGACGTTTGTCGTCACCTTGACTTTCATGCTTCTCGTGTTTGGACTGGAGCAAGGCCTCGACCATTACAAGTGGGTGATAGTGTCATTTAAAGCTCTCGTGTTCTCGTAAAATGCTGGACGCACATTGTCTCGCAAAATTTCGAAACTCAAAAATTGAGATGACTTTCTTGCAAAAGTCACGATACAATCTTCCGAAATGCAGTTTTTCCACCCTTTTAAGTTTCGATAGATCTTTTTTGTGACAATGCATGTCCATTCGTCCAAACAACTCAAAAGATATTATAGACGATCTCAATGATACCTGAAAAGTTGACATTCCAACATGTCATAGGCCCTCGTTGATCTACACGCTGGTCACGTGGACGTATTACTCAGCAACGGAGAAGGTCTTCGTAGAGATGTTCCCCACTATCCTGAATTTTCTACAGCTAGAGGCGTTGGAGAACATCGAGAACCTGTACGCGCCGGTGATACTTCATTGCCTCACGATCATCGCCTCGGCGATCTTCAGCGTTCTGCTGTTGGCCTCGGCTTCTTGGAGGTTCCTCTTAGCCGCTACATATCTGAACGTGTACCTGCGATGGAAAGAGTTGATGCAGAACTCGGGCGCGATACTGCGGCGGGAGCGTGAGGTACTGAATCGGTACCGGAAGGCGACCCTCGAGGAAATCGAGAGGTTCGATGACGTTTGCGCGGTGTGTCTGTGCGGCATGACCAAGGCCAGGGTCACGCCCTGCCATCATCTCTTCCACGCGGACTGCCTGCGACAGTGCCTGAAGACCAGCGACAATTGTCCCATGTGCAAGCGCGAGCTGAAGTTCGACTGAGCGAACGACAAGGACTCTTCGATCGCTTCTTAAAGAACTCGCGAGATCTTCTTGAAACGCGCCGTCGTGAATGAAGAGAGAACGTCTCGGACATTCTTAAGCTCTTACGTCTAAAAATTCCGACAGAAGTTTTGCAAGATAAATGTCCCACAATTAGTTAAGTCTCTAAGTAATCTCGTGAAGATAAATCAATTAATTCACAATACATGTGTCAAACTAAAGACACAAAGCTGATATTGTTGGAAAACTTGTACATTAGGGATGTTTCAATTGCATTATATTGTTCTAATTTGTGGAGAAATTTCTATTCACATCTATAATCTTTTCTCCGTATTAACTGATTTATTAAGAGCAAGCAGAATTGTCACATAGATTGGGACATGTGACACTAATTGGGGCATTCATCCTAACGTTACTTAGACACGTTATGTGAGCGAGAAATCGGAAAGAAGGAGCAGATATTATTGCGATATTATGCAGCATTAATAATAATAATCGCAATGCTCGGGATGCATGTTCCTTTAGATATACTTTTCTGTGATATAGATCAGCAACACCGTAGCTTAGTTAAACCAGAGTTACACGGAGAGAATAATATGAATAGCTTCCTTCTCCGTATAAATTCTTCTCAGTTTTGTCAAGTTTTCTAGTAGTGCGAGAATAACTGTCACAATGAAATTTACCTTGCGGAGGAACATAGTGAGTCTTCTTAAATAGCATCAATTTCAGTCTCTCTAAAATATGAATAACATACATACTCGTATGTATAAGACATAATTCTATGTAGCAATTTCTTTACTGTTCTAATTCTCTCCATGTACACTCTTCATCATTACATCAGCCACACCTCGTGGCCGAGTTGACAGGTGATTCATAACTTTAACGTAACTGGCAAATGGAAATACGCTTACTTTGTATTACTATATTTCGTTAGCATAGTGTTAGCGTAGTGTCGATCGAAAGAACTGTAATTTGCATTATTCATACATATTCATGATGAGTGAAGGCACTTTTATTGTGAATGTCCAGCTACGCAATACTTTCTTTCTGCGAGAATTCAAGCATAGCTTATAATAACATCTTACAAAAAAATTGTTTTGCAAGAATGATTATAGAATTAGAATTAGTTCAATTTGATAGTAGCGCTATATATAGGGGTTATACAATTATGAAAGAACCATGTGTTATCCTTTTTAAATTCAAAATTGTGCGAGGATAAACTCGTAAGTCACACAATCATATAACCCAGATTAACTGAATAGCGGAAATGTTCTTCGTAGATTAAGTTTAAGTCTAATTTTCATATTTCAGATGAAATATAATCTAACAAAAATTCAATTTTTCTCAAAGGATACAACGACAGCTTTTATTCCATCGATAGTCTCGATTTTATAATATTCGTTTTTCTATTGTTTGTCACATTCTTTAGGCTTTCTTATAGCGGGCATATTTGCACAAAGGTCTTTATCCATTTTATTAGGAAAAGGAAAAGGTTCTGTTTAAAGTTCAGTTTAAAGAGTTTTGTTTCTCATGACGAAAAATTTACTTTTCATCACTTCCTATTTTATTATGTTTATATAATGTCAAATATACAAATTTAAGCTTTGATGAATTATCTAAAAATACACGCTTCTCTTGTACGAGTTCCTGAATACGGAGTAATATTCATCTTTTTACCACACCATTGATCTTTCATTCTTCCCCTTCATATTTCCGGGTGGTGTTTACATATTCTCCATCAGGACTGTTGTAATTTTCTATTGGAGGTGTTTTTAATGGGCCTTTGACCACATAAGGTAAAAATGCTAAATCCACCTACAAATATAAATTCGCTCAAATTATACAATTTGAATTATACAATAACTTACAATGAATCTAATTTTTTCAGCCATTGCTACTACAATTCAAATAACTATACTTATTATAAATTTTAACTAAATCATTGACCTTTTACCTGTATTGCTTCTTGATATAGTTCTTCTGACTCTGCTCTAAGTTCATCAAGTGCTTTTTGTTGTGAATATAACATAGAATCTATCGTCTGAAAATCAGCTAAATATTGGTTATTTTTATATCTATTCCATTCCTTTTGTAATAAAACTCTAGATTCCACTTCCTCTGCTGATAATGGTGAAGAATTTCGCAGCCTCTGCCTAAAATCCATTTCATATTAATATCTAATTATAGAAACAATATTAATATATATTAATATTTCTGTACTTATATATAATTTAACATTCTAAAAATTAATATTTTATTCATGGAGAAGGAAGGAACTAGCTTACTTACTTTCTTTCATCTACTAATTTAAATGGTATTTCTATTTCACTGATTGGTTTCAATTGTTTGGCAACCTTTTCTAATCTACGAATTTGTTTCTCAATCTTTTTCTTTTTCCTATCCAATCTTGCCTTGATAATTGCAGGATCTAACCGTTTCTTCCTTTTTAATGGTTCTCCACTGTAAAGTAAATTGTAGTTATGACATTTCTATATAATTGATAATTAAGGAAATCTAATAAATTGATATATATCAATATATTTACAGAAGCGCACTGCTGACTCTGAAGTATAATGGACTGGTGCATGTTGATATATTTCGAACGTTAGATAGATTGCACACAGATAATCTAGAAAAGAAGTAACAGAAAAAAAATTAATAAATTTTTGTTACTTTTGCAATAAATTACAGATATTATGTACTCTTAATTAATTAACGTCAGTAATATACAAAATTGCTCGTCATTTATTTCACGAGTAAAATATTAACAATTGGAATATTACTGCGTGTCATAATTACCGTGAAAATTTTGACAATAAATTAACAACACTCATTCTTGTAACATAACCTTTTTACGTTATATTGCCTTTACTCTAAAAGTACTTGCTAGATAAGAAACTCATACACTAATGATGAACCATCAAAATCAGAGCTATCTAGTATAAGAAAGGTGAATTAAATCAACAGGAGGTTAATTTTGGAACACGGCCTTCGTTCATTTAAGCCCGTATCAGACTACGGATTGGGATTGAGTATTGGATTGAAATTTAACCAATCAGGAGTAAGTTTACTATACTTCAGATTATTTTCTCTTTTTCAATTGGTCAAATTTCAATCTAATCTCAATCCCAATCCATAGTCTGATACGGGCTTTACGGACCTTGGTCACATATAAACTTCATTTTGTCTACACAGAATTTGTATGGAATGCCCAATCTATGTATATCGTTGATTTGTGGTGGTTGTAATAGAGACGCTTGTTTAAAAATGGCGCACATTTTCGATTTACTTGAAATGCAATCACGAAAAGGTATTTTACAAAACAAGGAATGATCTTGCAAGAATGGGCGAAGAAATCGCGAAAAAGGAATTACTCGATAAAACAGCGCGTAAACTTACCGATGAAATACAAAATATGTCAAATTATAAAGCTCTTTATAATGAAATACAAGTATGTATTCGTAATTTAATTCTGAACATCCCTTCATGGAACAAAAATAATTGCATAATCCTTTCTTTTTCTTTTTACCAGAAACTTGTCGCATCTTCCGCCGTGAATAAAGAAGATTTTAATAATTCGTTGGCCACGGCGTTGAAAAGTAACGGCTTGGAAACCGAAATTAGAAATACCGTATTCCATTGGGTACGATCACGGGTAGGTAATTTCTTTAGTCTCAAAAAACGCCTCGTTGCTCTAAATAAACTTTTATAGGGTTCATTGCACTCGCAATCAGTTTCGCACATAGAAGTAACCGACCTGGGTTATTTAAAAAAGACTCAAATTCAATGGGAACGACGCATACAAAAGTCATTAAACTCAACATGCAGCGAACTAAATATTCCATTAGCTCGTATACGACCTACATCTGATAGAGAGGAACTGGCTGAAAAATGGAATGAACTGAGCACATACGATATTGGTATATTTTATTCCAAACTTGATAACAGAATACAGAGTTTCTACAAATTATTTATAAGTTATAACTTCCAGATTTATCACAATATCGACCACTATATGCACCAAAAGACTTCTTGGATGTACTGTTTTCTATACGTGATCCATCCTTTAAAAAACAACCGTGTGAGATATCTTTTTATAAAAGAGAATTAGTTTTTGTTTGGATAAAGATATATTTGTTAAATATATTTACTATTCTATTACTCTCTTTTAGAGATGAATTAAATTGGGATTTTAGTCACATACAGATTAGTGTAAAAACACTTACTCAATTGGTATGAATTTTACATTTGTTACTATTGTTACTATTGTGTAATTATAGTAACTATTAGTAATTTATAAGATTATTATTTTGACTATAATTATATAATTTATATAATTGTATGGGATCAGTTTTTTCTCTTTATTGTTTTGTAGAGACGCATGTATTCAGAATTGGCACAGGGAGTACTATTGCTTGGAGTAAATACTGATATGCCAGCAACAGAAAATTTTCCAAATTTAGAAGCTGAAAGAACATATATCGGCGAGAAAGTGTTGAATTTAAATCAGGCTCCCATTGCTCAAGAATTTCTAAAAAGAGGATCTCCTCGATCGTTGCGTGGTCGTATTTGGTCATTTGTACTTGGATCTGTTATCAAAGATAATGTATATGATCATTATCAGTGATTAAATTCTGATCATAAATATAGATCATTTTTTTCCTTTCAGGATGTCGAATATTATAATGAATTGAAGAATTTGGTATTGCAATATGATATCGTGGTGGACAAATTGATAATAATGGTAACTTATTTATTACAAAAGTACATCTCATAGTTAAAACTTTTTGCCAATCGGTGGCTTGAGAGTTAAGATGTTAACATGTATATATGATTGTAGGATGTACAGTTAACAGCCAGAAATGATGATCAGTACTTTGTGTTTGAGGACATCTTGTACAAAACAATGTTGTGTTTTTCAAGAGATTCTGAAATACTTGCGCCGGTTACAACTGATAGAAGTGCTGGTGGTCAGGTAATCCATGCAGTTTTGCAAGGCAAACCAGCTACACTAGAAAATACTTTAGTCTTTCCACCCAGTGGTGTTGTCCCATTTCATGGATTCACAATGTATGGTAAGGGACACTTGTACAAAAATATATTACTTTTGAATTCAGTCAACCATTGATTTTTTTTTCTTATATAGCTACACCATTTTGCTATTTGTATGATGATCCTTGTGCTATGTACTATACTTTTCGTGCATTCTATTTGAGATACTGGTTTCGCTTACACACTGTGTCAAGTCATGAGCAAGGTATAGTTGCTCTGTGTTTACTCTTTGAAAGACTATTGCAATGCCATGAACCACAGTTATGGACTCATTTCAAGAATATACACATTCAACCGTGAGTTCACTCCTTTCCCTTTTTCTCTGCTGTTTATATTTTCAAATGTTAATTTATTTTACATCTATACTTTCAGTATAAGAATAGTCTTCAAATGGCTCATGAGGGGCTTCAGTGGCCATTTACCACCTGAGCAATTATTATATCTCTGGGATTTAATTTTGGGCTATGACTCGTTGGAAATTATTCCTCTCCTTGCAGTAACAATATTAAGTTTCCGAAAGGAAAATTTGTTGCAAGTTAACACACAACAAAATGTGGAGGTACACAAATATTATATCATTAATGTGTGTATATATATGAATTATATGTATATAGTATATAGTTACTGTATATGTTAAGTTAATATACTTCACAACTCAATATTTTTATTTTTAGGCTGTATTGGCAGATTTATCCTCGATAAAAGTGATACCTCTATTGCAATTGGCACTTTTAAAGGAGTGATATCAATTTTATTATGAATATAATATTATTATAAAGTTGTAAATTTTTGTTGAGATAGCAATGTTTATATAAATTTTATTTCGAAAAATAATTTAATATTGAGTACATATGAGCTAATATTATTTTATCCTACTATATGTATATATATGTAATATAGTAACTATATATGTGTGTATAAATAAATAGATTGTAATAATTGTCAAAAATAAATTAATACGTAGAATGACGGATGGAATCGATTTATATCAAAAACATGTGATCTCATTTAAATAATAAACATGACAATACATAATCAAGTAACAATAAAAATATGAGAAACAAATAATCACCTGATATCTGCTAATAAAATCCGAACCATGTCATCACACGGGATTAAATGCGGCATTTTGGAGGGGGAATAGGGTGGAAGGGGACTTTCCTGTTTCCGGCTGTCAACCTCAAAGCTTGGTAGAGCTGCGTAGAGCACGGACGCCTGTTTCACCGTCGTTGCGCTGTGATCGTCATCGTCGTCGTCGTTATTATCGTGTTCATCGCTGTCACGTCGGTGGAATCGCATCAAGAGTACGTTAATCCGGTGGGCGTGGATGCGTCTCGATTTATGACCAGTGAGTATCCTCGAGCGCGACTTGCCGCGATTTCGCATCGCAGGGAGCGTCATTGCCGCAACGCTAAGCGACTATCTACGACCCCACATCGAACGAAGGGTAGGGTGGTTCTCACCCCCAAATTATTAGTCATGCACGGCTTCGTTACGTGGACGAATGACTGCGTCAGCGTTGCTCACTTTTCAGCGACATCACTGATGCGATCTTGAAATTGTACCGTTGATTTTTCTCTGCCATTAATTGGGCCGAGCAACATCCAACAAATTTGCATCTGTCGAGTGCATCGTGTATTTGCGCGAAATCTCGCTTAGAATACAATCGCGAAAATTCTCTCTCTTTCTGTGAAAGTTCAAAAACACTCGCCTTATTTTATTAAATTGTATTTGATGAACTTTCAGTATCTCGAAATTTCAATATTTCTTACATATATTTAGCAGATGTTTTTATCTCATGTTTAATAGTTGTATACTTTCAAAAATATTGAAGTGAATGATATTAAATTAATTATATTTAAAATTTCTATTGACAAGCAACTCGTACAAATTGGCATTCTTTATTTTCAGATTACATGATTTAAGTAGAGCATAGATATTTCAACCCAGTTAACAATATCAAAATGGCTTGGCGTTTCAAAGCATCTAAATACAAAAATGCAGCACCCATCGTTCCCAAACCAGAGTCTTGTATTCGGGATATCTCTGTGGGATCTTATCAGACTTATGGGAATAATATAACAGCATCTGCAGCATTCATGGCATTTAATGTGGATCACAATGGTATACTTAAATTTACAATAAATTTATTTCAGTAATTTATTTACAACATTCAAAAAAAAAACAAAAATCAAATTTTTCTTGAAGGATCCAGTTTAGCAGTACTACCACTAGAGGACTGTGGTAGAAAGAGTAAGACTATGCCTTTGCTACACGCACATGCAGACACTGTAACTGATATGGACTTTTCTCCATTCCATGATGGCTTACTTGCAACTGGTTCCCAGGATTGTCTTGTAATAAATTAAAAATTTTACTTTCATCAAATATAGAATATAGTTTTGACTATTGTTTAAAAGGTTAATGTTCCTCTAAAAATTGTATTAATTTTGAAAATTAGGTAAAACTGTGGCATATCCCAGAAAGTGGCTTGGAAGAATCTTTGTGTAATCCTGAATGCACATTTTCACACCGTCAACGTAGAGTGGAAGCAATATGCTGGCATCCTTCTGCAGAACATCTTCTGACTACTGCATCATTCACAAATTTATCACTCTGGGATGTTCTTTCTCAGCAGGAACTATTTTGTAAATATACTTTAATACCGTTATATTCATTATTTTATTTCATGAACATGATATATCACATGAATTTTGTGATGCAGCTAACAGTGATCACACAGAAGTGATTCAATCTGTAAGTTGGAAGCAAGATGGCACCGTTTTAGCAACATCATGTAAAGACAAGCAAATGAGGATAATAGATCCGCGTGCATCTTCATGTATCGTCAACTCGTGCTCGAGCCACCAAAGTATCAAAGATTCTAGAACAGTGTGGTTAAATAATAGCGACAGAATACTAACCACAGGATTTGATGCAGCGAGACTTCGTCAAGTTTTCATCAGAGATTTGAGACACTTGAACGAGCCAGTAAAAACATTGGAATTGGATTGTAGTACTGGGTAAAGTTCTATAATTTTTTAATTTCTCCATAGACAAAGAATTAAAATTCATCTCAAATTAATGCTACTTGAATTATATAATTTGTATATATATTTACGTGTTATATCTTTCGTGTTATATTTCGTATATGATATATTTCTCAGCATTCTGATGCCACTCTTTGATCCTGATACAAATATGCTCTTCCTTGCTGGGAAAGGCGACACTACCATTATGTACATGGAGGTCATGGATAAAGATCCTTATCTGGTAGAAGGAATTCGTCATAGCGGCGAGCAAACCAAAGGAGTTTGTTTAGTTCCAAAACGAGCGTTAAATGTAATGCAGGCTGAGGTTAACAGATTATTACAACTCACTTCCAACATGGTGATCCCGATTATGTATCAGGTTCCACGAAAAGTGAGTTTTTGCGGGCTACAAACTGTATGATTGTTACATATTGATACGTTACAGCTGAATTATCTAACAAATGTCAAATTTTAGACGTATAGAGACTTTCACGCCGATATTTATCCAGATACAGCTGGTTGTATTGCTCAAAACGACGCAACAGCATGGATGAAAGGTCATAACGCTTCTGTGCCAAAGATATCGCTAGACCCTGTTAAGAGGAACAAAGGCGAGGAACCAATCACTGTGAGTAAACACATTTACTAATGCTGTACTCGCTTGTATATTGTATTGATTTTAATGTAGCATACATTTAAAATGGTTTGAATCACATCGAAAAGGAAAGATCCGTTTCATTATGTTTGTAAATATCAGATCTATGATTACTTTAGACTCGAGTCATTCAAACATAATTGCACGCTCATCATCGCATTTTTTCACATCATTGCCACATTTTCTTCACAATAACAAAAGCTTCAAAGATAAAATCACGCGATGCATTGAATGTATATTTGCTTCAAATATATAATGTTTAATATATTTTCATGATAACAAGAAAGAAAGAAACAGGGTGGGTAAGAGAGAGAAAAAATGGGAGGGAGATTTCGGAAAGCATCTCAAATATTGGAAAATGTTTTAATACGAAAGGGTCGTGTTCGTTTCAGGCAGAATTATTTTGATTATAGAAACTTATTAAACGTAAATTTATGTATGCTTGCATAAGTTTGCCAATGTGGTATTTTGTGACAAGCGTTTGCAACATATTTATTAAATGCTAAAAGTTCTATTGGCTGCTCGTGCAATATTATTAATGAATTTTACAATTACAATATTAGTAGAATTTAAGCATTGAAACATTTTGTATATATTATAATTTTCATGTGTATCTTTAATCTTTTTCTTGTAAGAATTTATGTTGAATTTATATCAAACCAATCATTATCGATTATGCGTGCGTGTGTGCGTGTCCGTGTGTGTGCGTGTGCGCGCGCGCGTGCATATATACATATTTTATTTTGCGTTATTTAATTTCTCCATATTCTGTGTATATTTTTTTCACATTTCAGATGTCCAATATATGTTTTGTAGTTTATACATTAGCACCATTCAAACTATTATTCCTGGCACGTGTAATATAAATGGCAATTGATGTTGTAGCTTATTCTACAGTGTAAGTAATAGTAAGAAGTGTAAAAACATGTGTATCATCTATATGAATAGTTATCTATCTGCAAATTTGCCTCCAAAGAGATTTTTAATTGAGAGATGCATTAAGCTTTAGTTACTGGAGCTTAATCTATGCGTTTTTTGCATATATTTTTTTTATCTGTTCTGTACAAAAGAGCGAGCAAAAGATGTGCGTGTGTATGTGTACAAAAGTTGTGCGAATGGTCGTTAAATTGTCACGCCGAATGCCAAAGAAAGAAAAAGAAAAAAGAAAAAGAAAAGAGCGTATTCTTAAGAGTGCAGAATCGGACAGTGTAATTTGGTTTGCCTGCGGCTCACTTGGGTCACTAAGGAATTTACCGTACCTCCAGGTACACAAAGGGAACTTAGCGGTGCTCAAAGATAATCAGCATGACATTAAAGTGGAACAAACGAACCGACAGCCGAAATCTTTGGTCATTACCACACCAAAGGGATTTTCGAAGGCGCCACACAGCCATGTGAACGAAAACGACGGCAATGTCGTCGAGAACGATACCGAGAAGATCGAGGATGTTAAAAAGCCCGAGACGGAAGACGACAAGATCAAACTGCAGAACGGCGGGCAGACAGTGCCGCCTAAGCCTTTACCGAGAGCATCAAGAACCAACAGCATCTCCGAGGACGAGCCGAAACCGGTGGCGCGTCCTCGCACGTCGCCAAATCCCGGATCAGTCGTTACGTCAGTGAATCCTAACGCGATCGGAGGATACAAGGTTGTAATTAGCTTAGAAAGGAACACGTTATCCTGCTACATTAAGAGTATCGGAATTTTCGCGGCTGATTTCTGCGACAGTTTTGCGTGCGGATTCTAAACTTTCTCTTCCGTATATCGTAATTACGCCATTATTACCATGCCATTACTAACAGTCATCTTTGAATTATCATACCGCGAAAGAGTAGTACGTAAGAATACGCACGGGAAGTCTACGTGCAATCTGACCCTCCTATTATTGTTTTCTTCGTCCGTTTTCGTAGCCCCGACTTGGCCCTAAGCCGTTCCAGGCGAAGTCCAGCAGCCAAGAATTCTCGTTCGACAAGATCTTTTCCGTACCGATCGCGCCGAACAGCGACACGAACGGTTATCAGAACGAGGTCAACAACACCGTGGAGAATAACGTAGAGGCGGACAAATCACCGACTTACACTAACGAGCGGGTGAAGGACGCGGAAAACGGCAAGAGCGATTCCAGCTCCATCGAGGAGGACGCCAATTCCAGCGACTCCGGTTACAAGCCGAAAACACCGAGCACCGCGGAGAGACGCAAAGTATTCGAGACGAAAGTGAAGGACGAGTCACCCGAGAACGAGGATGCCGGAAATTTCGAGCGCGGTGCCAATAGAAACTCCATCGCCGAGAGACGGCGTCTTTACGAGAGCCGCTCGGTATCCGTCACCGACGGCAATCTGGCGGAGAAGGCGATAGGTTCGCCGACCATGTTGAGACGCAGAGACTCCTTCAAGACGAAGAGCGAGGTGATTAAGGAGGACGAGGCGAAGAAGACTAGTCCTATATTGCGACAACAAAGCATGGATCCTAGATTGGAAAAGGTAGAGCCTGTTGCAACACCAGCTTCTAAAAGGACCTCGACAGTTTTCGGTAAGAATCTTAACACCTGCTTTGGAAACTGTTATTATTACTATATACTGTATTAGTATGGTTATAATTGTATAAGTATAATATTAATATAATGTAAATTTATTGATCCTATAGGAAGAGTATCTAAGTTTCGACACTTGAAGGGTACGCCAGGACACAAATCCACGCATATTGAGAACATACGCAATATCAGTCGTCAAATATCCGGCGAATGTGATGGTTTTCATGGTAAAATTATATTTTCTAAAAAGAGATTGTGTGTGTGTGTGTGTATGTGTGTACATGAAGCTTGGGATCGTGATAAAAAATGGGGTCTATTTTATGAATCTATAGCTAATCCCGATCGAGTAGCTGTACCATTGAGCGGCCCAGGTGGCAAAATAGCGGTACTGGAACTGAAAAAAACCGGGAGACTACCAGATGGAGTTATGCCAGCGTTAGTCCATGGTACTACTGTAATGGACTTCCAATGGGATCCTTTTAATAATCAGCGACTAGCAGTTGGTAAAGTGGAATTTCAAGATTATGATAAAAAAGAAATATCTTTCTAACGAATCTTCGAAAGAAACTGAGAAAATATTCCTTTCTTTTTTTTCTTTTTTTGCTAGCATGCGATGACGGGATGATTCGGTTGTGGGAGATACCAGAATCCGGTCTGGCAGAACCAACGAACGAGCCAAAGCATCTCATAGAAGCCCATACCGACAAAATTTACCTAATCAAATTTCACCCACTGGCATCTAATGTTCTCGCGTCCGCTTCGTACGACATGACTGTTAAGATTTGGGACTTGTTGCTCTTGTCAACCACTGAGACGATAATTGCAAAGTTCACACTGACCGGTCATACGGATCAGATATTCAGCTTGGCGTGGTCACCGTGCGGTCAGTATCTTGCTAGCACGTGCAAGGACGGTAAATTGCGGATTTATAAACCTCGCTCCAGCGACGTCCCGGTGAAAGAGGGCAAAGGTCCCGTAGGTACAAGAGGTGCAAGAGTTATATGGGCTCTTGAAGGCAAATACCTTGTTGTGATAGGTTTCGACAAGTAAGCGCAACAGATGCAGTCGCATATTTTGTTTGTCTACATCATCATTAGAATAGGAAGAAGTCGCGAAGAGAAATTTCTGTAACAAATAATTATACATTTCAGAGTATCTGAAAGACAGATTTACATATTCAAGATGGACGATTTGAATAATCCGTTGAACACTGTGGGATTAGACGTTTCACCTGCCATACTAATGCCATATTACGACGAAGATAGTTCAACGCTCTTTCTAACTGGACGTGTAAGATTTCTCTCCCCGATCGAATGTTCTAATCGGTTCGCTGCCATTTTTTCCACGAAATCTATCAATTCCAGGGCGATTCTACAATATATGCATTTGAAGTAACTGAGGAACCTCCGTATTGCTGTCCATTGAGCCATCACAGGTGCAGCAGTCTGCACCAGGGCTTATCGTTTCTGCCGAAAAACAAATGTGACGTTGCCAGTGTGGAATTCGCCTCTGCTTTGAGGCTAACCAATAACACGATAGAACCTTTGAGTTTTACTGTACCGCGTATAAAGGTACGTAATAGACGCAACCACGGCAGCAATTGACGAATATAACACGAATGTGTAGTACGCGAAATATCTGATGTAAAAGCATTGACATATCTATCCGTTTCAATCAGAGTGAATTATTCCAAGATGATCTCTTCCCTCCGACTAAAGTCACATGGAAACTGACATTATCTTCTACAGAATGGTTTAATGGTAGTAATAAGCAACCGTCTAGAATAAGTCTTAAACCACCTGGTATGGACAATTGTAAGTAAACGATGCATCGTGGTAGTTAATTCGAAATAATAAATATTACAATCTTATTTAATTAATCAAAAATACAGCGTGTTTCGATGGTTTAACATATGATTTTATACTTACAGTGACCGAGAATCAGTCGCAGAACGTAGTTGCTACCTCCCAAGTCGCAACGAAACCATCATCGACCCCTTTCGGTATTTCTGCGCAACCTTTCAATAGACTAGGATGGAATCCGGACGTTAAAGCGAAACAGGAAGAGGTAAGATGACATTTGAGTTTATACATTATGTGTGTACCTTATTCATGGAAGGGACGTGAAAGCTTTAATTATATGATATGTGACTTTACAAAAATCATGAGCATGACAAATTTGATCCACAATTGATTTTTTGATGGATTATCAGTTAATGTTACAATGTATTATGCATATATAAATATTACGTGGAAAATTCGCGTAATATTTATTGCAAAAGCATAAGATTCTTTGCTTTCATGTGATATATGTTTGAGTATATTGTGTGATATGTGTGTATTAGATTCAAAAAACCATGAGCAACTTTGTGGGAGATGTCATTCAATGTTCACTAGAGCAAGATCATATGGAAGGTGTCGAAGAACATGAATGGGTAAGTGTTTATCTGCTATGTTATAATTCTTTAATTTTAATTTAATCATTTTATATATATATACACACACACAGTGTGACTATAAGATTTTTTAAACAAAATTTATAAAAAAGAGAAATTATAATTGGAAATATTTTACTATTCAATTTTATACATCCTTCCTAACTCTATACAGCAATTTACACGAACTCCCAGCCTCTCCATGGCATGCTGGATTCTGAACAATCGTAAGTAAATGATGTACCATGTACTTGATTTGAAACAGTAAATATTTATTACAATCCTATTTAATTAATAAAAATTTTCAGTCCTAAAACTTAATAGCTACACTGCGTGTGTGTGTATATATATATGTGTCAGTTTCCATTTATTTATTATTAGTAATTTTAATGCCTGTACTTGGAGTAATTTATATATTATAAACGTATGTATATGTGTATATATATAATAATTAAATTTTATTATTTCTGAATGAAATTTACGTGCCGATAGAAATAAAATAAGAATAATGGCTTTTGAAAAATCGGAAGGAAATTTATTCGTTCAAAAGATAAACTGTTTGGGAAATGACAGTTGATAATGTTGTGTTGTTATTTTAGGACGAGTAAAAATGGAAGAGAGAAAGAGAGAGACCTGTGGATAGAATATTTATACGCGAGCTAGTAAGGCAAAAGTCTATAAAAATATGGTTGTTTGAGCCGTAATTTATTCATAAGTTAAAATTCTATATCGAATGGCAAAAACATCGCAGTGTTACTGTGTACAGAATGAGGAGTAATTTTAGCTGAGAAAAATATACTTCCAATAATTTTCTTTTGGAGGAGACAAACGATAAGTACAGTGTTTTATATCAATTTACAAAAGTTGTAATAATTCTTTTATAAATTTAGCTCAAGATTTTGTATACCACTTGTTCATACATAGAGATAAGAATCCAGGCCTTGTTAAATCTCATTAATTTAAAGTGAACATGAAAATGCGGAGTGAAATAGCAAGAGATTTTTTACCATGGTGATATATTCGATGCAATATTTGATAGAACACTGTTCTTACGAAGTATATGCGTGATTATAGCTCTAGTCTTGAATCGTTTTTCTTATCTGCTGCTTTTTCATACATTTCTAGCTACCAATAATTTTATAGTATTATATACATATATAACACTTGTAGAAATTATATTAGATATAGGACATGCTTAAATTATTGTCAAAAGAATTAAAAAACTTATACAATTTGACAATAGTTTCACATCTATCTATTTAATGAATATCAGTTTGGAATTTCAGTGGATGAATAACTTCTTATAATAGATATGCTAGTAATTTTCAAATACCGAGTGTGAACGATATCAAACGTTTCAGAGACAATTATTGACGAGTTTTTCGTTTAATTATCTCAACTGGATATATTTTAAAATGAACGAATTTCTGTGTAAACGTGAAAAAACAAATTCAGAGAATGTGCCATTTGTGTGAAATGACAAAGGTAATGTTCAATCTGTTGTTAGCAAAAATGTTAATCAATATTTAATCCAGTATTACGTCAGTGTTGTTAGATCTTTAATGTATAATTATTCCTGGATAAAATCGACATTCCATACTGCGTTTGTAAGGTGTACTATCACACTAGTGCCAGATTTATTCTCATTTTCATAATGCCAGGTGTCAATAATGGTCTCAATGTATATGTCGTAATATAATCTATCATCGTATGTGTGATATTAGAGCAGATGATGGTCTCTCGTCGCAGAATTGTGAAGCAGAAGTTTTTTACGACATTTCGTATCCTCATACGCACATATGAAAGATTATACAGGATAAATATTACATGTAATGAGTATTAAGTCGTATTAAGTCAATAGTTTAATTGTATGGCAAATATATTACGTCTAATCGATATATACATATGCGCTGAGTACTCTGCAAGATTCAAACCGATATTAACTCGGAACAAATGACTGATCTTTTGTACTTTTTTTATCAGAGTATTGCGAACGTGATTAATATATCTGGTGATCTTTTTTTGGATGAATGAATTTTTTATCTCTCATATATACTACGTATATGCATTAGTCGTATAAAAGAACGATTATAATGGTACTATGCCCTTCAGAAACGATTTTATAATCAATGATTGTCAAAATCATGTCTCTTTGTGAAAAATTTAATATTGGTAATTGACTCTGTTATCATAACTCATATCGGCACGTCGCTATATTCGAAGACCAGTATAGTGCCAAAAAGAATCTAACACAGATGCAACGGGGAAAATATCTGAATCATCTAAAATTGTTTTTCTAGATAATTAATACACAATTGTGTTGTTTTGTAATCTGCAAATATTTTCAATTTTTACAACATCCTCTCCTCTGCACTAGAAAGTATTGATAAATCTTTTATACATGTCAACAATAGGGAATAAGATAAAATTTTACTGAAACTTGTCGCTGCCATTCATATTGCCAATAATGTTATTGGTTTTTGCATTACAAAATAAGGAAGGAATATGACATATATATTTTAAAGTAATTATATTTTCATTGAATTCGTCTAGCGTGTTATATATAATTATAATCCAGATTTTATAACAAATTATAAGTACATAATTACGGAAATTATGCAATCTTTTACAGCAAAAAGGTTTACAGGTTTATATTTGAATGTATGAGATTGTTACATTTCTGTCGTAATTCCACTCTGAATCTCTCTGAAAGATATAAATGACTATCTGAATTATTTCATCATATAACAATGTACCTTTGTATCAATTATAACTTTCATGTATTTCAGCTATAAAAATTTTTTATTAAACATTTTAATTGTCTATTTTAATATATATATCCATTCCTTATAATAAATTCATCAAAATTTTTACACTTATATAATTGCATTAAATCATATAAATCTCATCAACGATATATAAATATTAACTGAGTAAGCATATGGAATGTTCATAAAAGAATTGTAAATATAAATACGATTTAATGTAATTTAAAAATTTTTAATTGATCTATATATATATATATATACACATATATATATATATATATGCACATGTTTGTAACATTTTAACGAAAATAACTTTTTCTTTTCGAAATATATTTACGCTGTGCAAAAGAATATATCTAATATAAATGCAATAAGTTATACAAATTATCTGGCATTTCCAACACGATCTCTGGGAATCAATCTGAGTTCTGCACCATATTTAAGAAATACATTTCCTGGAAACAAAATGTATGATTGACCATATATAGTATAGTACAGAAATTATAGTATATTGAAATATATCATATTTCTACCTGCAGTTTGTTGCGGATTTATCCCTATACCATCATCTGTAATTATAGCAGATGTAGATGGTGGTACTTTAAATTCTTCAGCAGCAAACTTTAACACAGCAGTAAATGGAGTATTCTCTGGTACACTGAGTCTGTAATTAATAAAATATATGAATTTTTCTTTGTTTCCGATTTATACAAATTACAATAATGTTACAGAAAGAATATCTTGTGTGTATATACACATAACATGTATAAGTTTAGGTATACATATACATATACATATATATATATATATATATATATATTGAAATGTTTCTCATATTTTATATATATTTTTAAAATAGGACTGGCATTTTTATTTTGTTAACAAAACAAATTTTGTAGTACAAACAATTTATTTTCCTTCCTTACAACACTATACAGTTATACAGAATATAACTTATTAATCAGAATTTATATAAAATCTATAAAATTGTATAATAAATATGTATAATATGTATGTATGCTAAACAAATCTTTCCACATCATTCCATATCTTATTATCTGGTTGAGTTTTAACAACAGATAATCTATTATATACTTGTTCATAAATTACACAAGGACCATTTAATAAAATTTGAAATATTTTACACAGATGTTCATATTTGAAATCATGATCTGATAACCAATTTCCATTTACTTGTCGCATATTTCGACCAAAGTAGAATATTGCATCAATAAAATTTGTGCAGAAAGTGTAATCATTTTTAAGTAATTTTAAAAGTAATTTTCTCTTCATATTTACAAGAGCTATGCATATAGCAGGATGATTTTCAACCAACTTTGAGGTAAGAATTTCTTTAATTAATATTCCGATAGCATTATCATCACATAATTCAGTTATTAAAGCGATTAATCTTGAAACATCACCATCATTTATCATTTTATTTATACATTTTATTACTCCATTTTTATCTCCACTAGTTACTGCTATTTCCCATGACATAATTAGCGCTTCATTCTCTATATTAGATAATGGTACTTCTAATTCTTCTAGAGATTCTACAATTGTACTTACAGCAATAGAATTACTTATTAACCTACTTAAAAAAACCTTTAGTCTGTCGTGTCCAAAGTGTTGTGTATATAGTTTCAAGTATTCGTCAACTATTTCATTGGGAAAATGACTATCCTTTAAATAACGTTCTAATAATTTGTCACATGCTTTTGCCAAATAAAAACATGTATGTGAAAGTGATTTTCCTTCCAATCTTCGGTATTCTTGTAAACATTTCTCAAAATCATATTCTTTTCCTTCAGCTTGAATTTTTGCGATTGTAGCTTCGATAAAGCAAGCACAATTAAAAGCTTGTGTCACATTGTCTATAGTTATCTGTTTATTAATGTCCAGATTTTCAAGAAGTGTGTAAAATGCATCAAATGTTTCAAAGAATTCAGAGCCATTGACTTGCATACTATTACAAGACACAAATCACACAAAAACAGACACACTTACACTTTATATGGCAGATTGGGGTCAGAAGTGAGAGTTATTCTGAAGTTTACTTTTGATCTGCAACATATTACATTTTATATCAATATACATTACCGTGTTTTATATTATACAGAAAACGTCAAACTGATAGATTTATATACAAATACATCAAACATATGTACTTTCTTGCTATGAGCAAGTATACATTTATTCTAACCATTATAAAATTATTACGAAAAATACATACGCCATAGTTCGTAATGAATATTATACAAAATATAACGAACGAGTTGTTCAAAGTTATATCTAATTTGCTTGTATAACTGTCGTAACTGACAGCAATTTCCAACGAAAAAAACCTTTCTAGCGGCCACGCCGGCGTATCCTATGACCAGAGATGAAGCTGAGAGCGGCCAAAACGGCGTTTTCGGTGACACCGATTTTTCGCACTGGGAATGGGCGCTATCTGCATCCATTTTGAGAGGGGAACTGCGATGCTATATCCACTTTTAGATTTCGACGGTAAAACCTGCATCTGGTGGCTGTCCGTGCTACATCCACTTTCAGGCGGTTTATGTCCGTGCTACAACCATAATAGCGTACTTGACAAGCACGGTCTCGCGCGTTGTTATGCATTTGTAATATGAATTAACATGTTAACATGCACAAAAAAAATAAGAATTGAGATTGTATATGATTAATACCATGAAAATTATATACGATTTATATCGATATATAAATATATGATAATAAGATAATATTTTGTGTGTACCCAAAATTATTTTTCCAAAATATTTCAGCGTTACGTTAGTATTTATTTATTCTCCGGCAGGCGTTTTTTAGCGCAGTTGTGTCCGTGTGCATGTGTTGCATTGAAAGTGTGCGTGACATACGTGTGCATATACGCACTCACACACACACACACACACACGCTCATACACACACACACACTTGTCATACGCAACAGATAGAATCTCTGGGTATATGCTTAAACATTTTCAATTGCCGTACGTTTCTATGTAAGAATGTAGTCGGCACACACACACCCACACAGAGAAACTGCTATCCGTCTATGCGTCTATCCGTCTGAAGTCCCGCCCTCCGCTCGGCTTGTTTTGACGAGCCAAGCGAAAGAGTATAGAAATGGCGAGAACGCTACCAATTTTGGTTTTAGCGCGTCGCGTGTTAATAATAATCTTTAGAACTCGTGCGGGGCTAACCAGAATTCTGAATGAAACGTCGGATTTCCGAAAATAAATTTTCTGAGTGAGATGGAAGTAGCAATTTATGGAAAATGTAGCGTTTCTACAGTGAAATCCGGTGATCGAGGTGGAAAATCGATTGACCCATATTTGCCTATTCACATATAGGGAAAAATATTATTATATTATCATTATTACATATAATTATCTCGATGCACGAATCACTACAGTTCTCTTTCAGCAGTTGAACGTACCTTGTATTTACAACTATCCCCGCTACGTGACGCCCAATGGCATTGGCATACTCGGAGTTGAATTAATGACTCGGAGAGGACAAAATGCGAACGTAGCAGTTGTAAAGCATCGCTTCTCGGCCCTCTGAACTAAGATCAAAGTTAGGAGATATCATAGGATAAAGTTTTCCAAACTTTCTCCGTTGATATCTCCGCTTCTACTGGGAGTAGAGAGTCGCCATTTACGGAAAAATATAGGGTTTTGAAAGGACTTTAATTTGGTACCAGAGCCAGGCCTGTATCTCTAACCGTTTAGGAGATATCGAAGATTAAAGTTTTCCAAACTTTTTTCGTTGATATCTCCGCTTCTACTGGGAGTAGAGAGTCACCATTTACGGCAAAATGTAGGGTTTTGAAAGGACTTTAATTTGGTACCAGAACCAGGCCTGTATCTCTAACCGTTTAGGAGATATCGAAGGTTAAAGTTTTCCACGCATTCTCCGTCGATATCCAGCCTTTCTCCGTCGATATCTCCGCTTCCACTGGGAGTAGAGAGTCGTCCATGTAGTCCAAAATGTAGGGTTTTGAAAGGGCTTTAATTTGGTATCAGTCCGAAGCCTGTATCTCTAACCGTTTAGGAGATATCGAAGGTTAAAGTTTTCCAACCTTTCTCCGTCGATATCCAGCCTTCATCCGTCGATATCTCCGCTTCTACTGGGATTAGAGAGTCGTACATGTAGTCCAAAATGTAGGGTTTTGAATGGGCTTTAATTTGATACCTGTCCGAAGCCTGTATCTCTAACCGTTTAGGAGATATCGAAGGTTAAAGTTTTCCAGCCTTCCTCTATCGATATCCAGCCTTCATCCGTCGATATCTCCGCTTCTACTGGGAGTAGAGAGTCGTCCATGTAGTGCAAAATGTAGGGTTTTGAAAGGGCTTTAATTTGGTACCTGTCCGAAGCCTGTATCTCTAACCGTTTAGGAGATATCGAAGGTTAAAGATTTCCAACTTTTCTCCGTCGATATCTCCGCTTCTACTGGGAGTAGAGAGTCGTCCATGTAGTCCAAAATGTAGGGTTTTGAAAGGGCTTTAATTTGGTACCTGTCCGAAGCCTGTATCTCTAACCGTTTAGGAGATATCGAAGGTTAAAGTTTTCCAACCTTTCTCCGTCGATATCTCCGCTTCTACTGGGAGTAGAGAGTCGTCCATGTAGTGCAAAATGTAGGGTTTTGAAAGGGCTTTAATTTGGTACCTGTCCGAAGCCTGTATCTCTAACCGTTTAGGAGATATCGAAGGTTAAAGTTTTCCAACCTTTCTCCGTCGATATCCAGTCTTCATCCGTCGATATCTCCGCTTCTACTGGGAGTAGAGAGTCGTCCATGTAGTCCAAAATGTAGGGTTTTGAAAGGGCTTTAATTTGGTACCTGTCCGAAGCATGTATCTCTAACCGTTTAGGAGATATCGAAGGTTAAAGTTTTCCAACCTTTCTCCGTCGATATCTCCGCTTCTACTGGGAGTAGAGAGTCGTCCATGTAGTGCAAAATGTAGGGTTTTGAAAGGGCTTTAATTTGATACCTGTCCGAAGCATGTATCTCTAACCGTTTAGGAGATATCGAAGGTTAAAGTTTTCCAACCTTTCTCCGTCGATATCTCCGCTTCTACTGGGAGTAGAGAGTCGACCATGTAGTGCAAAATGTAGAGTTTTGAAAGGGCTTTAATTTGGTACCTGTCCGAAGCCTGTATCTCTAACCGTTTAGGAGATATCGAAGGTTAAAGTTTTCCAACCTTTCTCCGTCGATATCCAGTCTTCATCCGTCGATATCTCCGCTTCTACTGGGAGTAGAGAGTCGTCCATGTAGTCCAAAATGTAGGGTTTTGAAAGGGCTTTAATTTGGTACCTGTCCGAAGCCTGTATCTCTAACCGTTTAGGAGATATCGAAGGTTAAAGTTTTCCAACCTTTCTCCGTCGATATCTCCGCTTCTACTGGGAGTAGAGAGTCGTCCATGTAGTGCAAAATGTAGGGTTTTGAAAGGGCTTTAATTTGGTACCTGTCCGAAGCCTGTATCTCTAACCGTTTAGGAGATATCGAAGGTTAAAGTTTTCCAACCTTTCTCCGTCGATATCCATCCTTCATCCGTCGATATCTCCGCTTCTACTGGGAGTAGAGAGTCGTCCATGTAGTCCAAAATGTAGGGTTTTGAAAGGGCTTTAATTTGGTACCTGTCCGAAGCCTGTATCTCTAACCGTTTAGGAGATATCGAAGGTTAAAGTTTTCCAACCTTTCTCCGTCGATATCCATCCTTCATCCGTCGATATCTCCGCTTCTACTGGGAGTAGAGGGTCGTCCATGTAGTCCAAAATGTAGGGTTAGGTTGTGACCGGGTCTCGGGAAGGTGTTTATTTTTCGGCCTTCCTAACCGATCCTAACCAGTCGGTGGTATCCTCTGGTGGCCCTGACCCTGGTCGTCAGCAGAGCCGATCTGGTCCTAACTCTTCCGTCCTTCTCACGGCTGCCTCGGTCGCCAGTCGCTGTCGGATTATGGGAGCAGCGACACTCCAGTGGATGACCCCGTGTGGGACACCCGAGATCTAGTCTCTATCCGAAGTTGCTAGGTCCGTATCGCAGGACCGTAACGTTGGTTGGACATCCGGTGTACCGTGTGTGTCCAGACTTAATTGCCAGTCTATGGCGTTCTATGGTGCTATATATATGTGTTACCAGTCGGTGGTGTACGAAGGTATAGCCTATATTGTTGTTTATTGAGGACTTGGGGCCTCTTAGTGTTGTTCGAGCCAGTCAGTTGTGCTCTAAGACGCCTTTATTTACCTATCACCTATGCGATGTACCAGTCAGGAATGAGGTACCCTATGAGTGGACAGCGCTCGCGGGTACTATATATGTCCTTCCTGTGAGCTGCGCTCGCGAGGAATGCTTCTACCTATCGCTGGTGTTCTAACGCACACACTATATACTGGTCACCAGTCAATGGTGTGCTAACGGACGTACTATATATGATACCAGTCAATGGCACACGTACGTACTTGCTATAGTACCGTCACCTATCAATGGTGCTCAATTGTATGTACTATACCACTCTCCAATGAGCTGTGCTCGTCAGGAGTTTCAACACCAGTCGATGGCATGCACGCGTATGGACTATAGATGTCACCAGTCAATGGTGACCAAACGCACAAACTATAGATGCCACCAGTCGATGGTGGTCAATCGTGCAAACTATATACGAGTCGCGAACAAACAACGACGAAATGTACGTAATATAGTTATTTCTACTGACTGATACACCTAAGGATCTGAAGGATCCAGTCAATGGTGAACTAAGGCAATTATTTATTTAACTAACAATGAAATGGCGTTGACTGGTGAAAACTCGAAAACTGACTGGACACGACTGGTGCGCCCGACATTTAGGGGCGCTCGCGTTGTAAAAAAGACAATGAACTAATAAAATTCAAACTCCAGTCAAATGCAATTTTTAGGCTATTATTTATTTATTAATTATTTAACACCGTTAACGACCGACTGATACACTGAGCATGCACATACGGGAAAGGTAAGTGAACACTTCACCGATTAGAACAATAACAATAAGAATATATTTATTAATTATAAACAATCACATTCGCAAAAATCACAATCTCGAGTAACTAAATTAAACAATGCGCTGCGCGCTGTGACGCGTAATTATTTCGCGTACCGTTACCCGCTGGTGCCGAGGAAGATGAGTTACGCCGTCGCGGGATCAAAGGCGCCGCCGCGCAAGATCAAAGAGCCGCCGCTCTGCGATTTCCCCGATCGCTAGATTTTAATTGCGAATTATTAACGACGCTGCCGGTACCACTCGCGGTCTTAGACGTCGGGAGGAGGAAGCGGTTATCGAGACACTGACACTCGCGGTCGCGCAATTACGGTTATGACGTCACGGATAATGCGGAAGTCGGCTACGCCGCGCTTACCGTCCGCCGCCTCCTGGGG